CATTTTTCATGTGTCCATCAACTGAGATCCTTATTTTTTATTAGATTTTGTATCTTACAGATTTCATTCAATTTATCATCAGATTAAATTCTTTGTGGTCTCTTTTTTCCAATTTACGCGAATGTAAAAGCTTGAAAAGATCAAAAGAGTAAGAAATTAAAATAAAACTAGGAAAAAATATTTCTTAGATCATTTAAGAACTATTAAATGTTCTTGTTCCATATTAAAATTTGAAATATTTATATAAAGAATTTTTTTCAAGTTCTTTATTGCTAATTAGAATCCGAAATTAGTTCTAAGACTGTAAAAAAAAATATTATACTAAAACGAGTTGTTAATAATTAAATCCTAATTTTTTGGTCTAACGTTATTAAAAAATTTTATTTTACTCCAAAACTTGAACTTCACAAGGGAATTTTTTATAATCAACCCTTAGAACTTAAGAATTTTTTTTTCAACAGGAAAAGTCAAGAAAAAGGTATGAAAAGAAAGAAACGATAATTATTTTTATGAAAAAAGCAATACTTGAAGCAAAGAACTTTGATTAAAAACATAAAGTATGTAGATACCTCTTAAGTAAGTACATTTATTTCAGCAGATTGTATCTGAATATGTGCAATACATGCTGCTAGCATATTTCATCTGAAGAAAAATCTAAAAAGTACGTTGCTGAGCTTATGATCAATATTTGTTCTACAATAGAACGCCTTTTTAAAACTCAACACGGTAAGCGAATCATTTTTGTACTTAAATGAGGATAAAAGAGCCATCCATTTATTGTAAATAAAAAATAGAACGACTAAAATGAAAGCAATAAATTGATTAAAGTTATCGAAGCAAGATGATATAGAGGTACATCTTGTAAACTGCACAATTTAAGTTTTGTCGCTCAAAGGCAAGGAATCCGAGATTTAGGGTTTGGAAATTGAGTTTTCGAAATTAATTGGGAATGTCTGCTATGCTTTGATGCACGAAGAATGAGTTAAGATCTTATTGATGATGGTAAAGAAAAGAGTCTGGGTTTGAAAAGGTTCAACAATATCTCAACGATTTAGTATAGGCTCGATGAAAACCGTTTTCCCACAAAACCTAGGCCTAAATTTCCTTCCAACTACTTTGAGAAGCCAAAAGATTGTGGTTGACTGCTTCGCATCCCAATTTCCAAGTAAATTGAATTTTTGTTTTAAGATCAAAGGGCGCAATATAGGCATATGACTCTTATACGAGTCACAAGTAGGGAAAAAGGAAGTGAGGAGAGAGGTTGGAGATGAATCGGAAGTCAAGCGACTGCGTTTTCAGATGTCTATGTCGTGGTAGTTGAAGAGAAAAACGAAAATGGAGAAAAGGGAGTAGATAAAATAAAAAAATACGATGGACGCTAGAGGGCTAGACGTCTAGACTTTCTAGACATAGGCCGACCCTTCAAACTCGTTCTCCAGTAGATATATACACAAGATCCGCACATTTTAATATTGCTCAGCATCGACCCACCCGATCCATCACCTGACAAAGATTCTCTCTCGAAAATAATCTACTTCGCTTTCTTGCCGAATAGTATCTCGGTAAACGAGAGACGATAGCGTTCACCAAAGATGAAAGGATAGTAAGATAAAAGCTAGGGATGAAAGTAAGGCTATGATACAAAGAAATTTGCAATGGCCTAAAATAAAGAAACCCGAAAAAAGACGAATTCGATTGCTCTGTGTTGGAATGAAATCATAATACAAATGGCGTAGTCCCTTCTTCACTGCCTCCTCGAGATATGCGAAATAGAATAATGGAGAAGAAGAAAAAAAATAGTCGATGAGAACGCAGAGAGTAATAAAGCAAAGCGCGAATATTCCTTCTTTCCTTCTTCTCTACGTTTTCTTTCCTTCGAAACCCTTGTCTGAAAATTTGCGGTCTCATTCGTTTGCGAATAAAACCGCAGCTTATTCGCTTTCTCTAACCCATTCTTTAGTGCTTTTGCAAAGAGTCTGAGACGCGCCTCTCCTCACTCCCACGCCCTTTATCCGCTTTCTCGGCCAGTCCATCCCCGCATCCGGTTTTATACTACGACGATGCTAGCGGCGTCGACGTCGTGAATACCGTCTGCTCGTGGGTGCATTGTGGCCGCACCTGCGTGTATTATGACAAAAAGAAGAAACGTGAGAGTTGAAATGGAAGACTTGAAATAAATTGAGACATGAGTAGATCAACAAAGATTTCGTGGCTGAAATTCATTTGAGCTGTTCTACTTTTGCTTTTTCTTTCACGTTTTTCATGGCTTTAAATATATTGTTGGTCATTAACAACTAAAATATTGCAATTATTAATTTTTCCTGAGGCACTTTTTCGTGTGGGCGTGAGGGTAAAAATTTATGATGAACAGATTTAGGGTTAAAATGCATTCTGAAGAACCGGTTGAGAATATTTTTATATTTATTCCTTTTAGGACTAGATAAAAATAATGCTGGCAAAAATTATATTAGTCAGACTCACGCCTCATTTTTTGTGAACCTGTTAATTAAAAAATTCTTTCCAACTGCACTGAAACCCTTTTCAAAGCTTGCTAATATCCTCCTTTACAATTCTATCTGTATAATTAATAATGTGAATATAACTAGATTTTTTGTGAATGTACAAAAACTCGTTTCCATCAGATTTTTAAACAATAAAAGAATAAATGAATTATAGTAATGCCATTGCAAAATTCCATTCTTTCATTATGTTAAATTAATTTAAACATTTTTTTTAACAAATTTAAGAATGAAAAAATAATATTCATGAATTTAAAATCTTATATGATATTTTATAATTAATATTTCTTTAGTGTAAAAATAATAATTAAGCTATAAAGCATTTATTATCTGTGAACAGATTGTATCATTTGAGTGTGAGAATAATAATTATGTAATTAAGCACTCAATACTCATTAAACCAAATGACTTTTAAAAAAAAATATTTCATAGTCTCACTTTCCTAAGAATGTTCTCTATGGTACGACGAACTACTAAAATATTCTAAAAGAAAATACCAACACGTGTAAATACAATAAAAGTGGTATAAAGTAGGAGAAATGGTAAAAAATTAATAAAATTACCAGGTATACATCTGTAATCAATGTGGAAGCCTCAGGTCACTGTTTGAATACGATATTGAAAATACCTATGCAGTATATTACGTTGATATTTGCGCACAATAATCTTAGCCCCATTTTCATGCAGTACAGTTTGCTGTGAATCTAAAATTATGTATACCAAGCGATCTTTAGGTTTGCATAGACACAATCGTTGACCCTTATTTTATTTTTACCACAATAACTATAGTATAAATAATTCGTAGAAGTTTATGCTAAATAATATGTTATTAACATCCTCTACATATAAGTTTGAATATTAATTTTCTAATTTATCGATTAATTAATTATCACGAAATATTTGTATGCATCCTAATTTGCATATTCGATTAGATTTAATTTATTGTAGTATTCCTTGATTAATAAATAATTAATTTACATTATTTTACATCTGTTATAGTTTCGATTGTCGCCGAAAATTTAATTTGCATCGTTGATTAAATCCATTATAAAATAAACAATCAATTTCAATTATAAAATAACTAAATAATTATTTTTAAATAATTAAAAAATAAAAAAAATGAATAACATCAATTCTAAATTCGTAACAGTTTGATCTTAAAATAATCATTGTGATTTAAAATGCAAAAATAATATTTAATTGAATTCTAAAGTAACTCAATCTCCAGTTTTCTACTTGATTTATACTGCTAAATTCGAAAATGTCACTCACAGTACTACAGTAGAATCGGACGAGCTCGTTAATGTTAACGATTAACATGTCACGGATGAAACATATTATAAAACTGATGTTTAATTGTAGCTTCCTGTCACACCAACAAAGGAATGGACGAGAAACATCAGAAGTTCAATTAAAATTTTTTCATGAAAACAACAGCTTTATACAGATCCATATATATCTATATACAACACAATCATTTGTTTCGCTTGTTTCTATCTTAAGCGAGAAACTATGGCTAAATTTTGTCAGCTCAAAAGGGTGCGGTATTAAACAATATCGGATGAAGCCCGAGGCATTATTATTACGTCGTGTCACAAACAGATGTTTTCAGGCTTTAAAATTTTTTTTTTTTTTTGATTACAAAAATCAAGTTCAGATAAAATAAAGATATTCCCCTGAAGGTAGAGAGTTTCAGTATCATTCAAAGACCTTAATATTGGAATAAAGAGAATGAAATGTAATGTAAAAACAGTATAAAGGAACGACTTGGTAACTGTACACTTCCTAGAGCGCCATTAAGCCAACCGGGCTGTTCTCACGGGCCGTTAATACAGCACGAATGTTTATGCGAGGCGATGCTATTTAAAATCTCTCGCGGAAGGAAGGAAAAGAGAAGGAAAGCAAGGGGGAATACAGTAGCAAGGTAGCCGCTGTGTGGTATATTATATCCGCGAGTCTCCCGGAATTCCTTCGTCGAATCTGGCTCCGGCAGACGCACTAAATTTTCTATACATGCTCTCTTTCTCCCCCACCCATCGCGAATATGTAGATGCGAATAGTCTCTGTTACTTCGCCAAGGATTGAATAATAAATGCACCCACCGTAAAAATTTTATTGTTGCATTTTAATTATTGCCACGAGATACTTTGGTGAGGATTACTGATGATTCGATTATTTGGATCATACGTGGATTTATCCAAAGATAGTCGTCAATGTCAAAATAATTGCTGCTCTGTTCAATTACTTTGATCAAATGAATCGTTGTTACGTAAACACAACACTACATTTCTTTCTTGTTTGATAGCAAATCGTTTTAATGATGAATTATTTTCAATATATTAAGCACTTAATGTCAACAAACATTGTTACATTTATCACTATCAAAATACCACCAAGCAGCTCCTGATATTTGTAAGCCTTGAATAAATAATCCGATTGCCGCAAGTTTGAATGTAATTATAGAGGATTAATCAAACTTACCCTTGTGAACTGTGAATATTGATTAAGATTCCATGTAACTCTGTCTCTCTCTTACATTCTCATCATTGCATTGACTTGTTCTGCTTCCTTCCCCTTCAGATCTATTCTCGACACTCCCGGTAATGATATTCTATTCTCGGCGTATGGATAAACTTCTAAAACTAACAAACAAAACTTGTCATTTACAGCTTAATTTACTTGATGCTATATCTTTATTTCAATTTATGTCAACTTACTGATCCAATTGGTCGTTCAATTTATTGATATCATGGTCGCTTCCTGCTTTCTTTGCGTCCATATACCACCCAAAATATGTCGTGGGGAAAGTTAATATTGGATGCTGTATATTTTCAAGAACAGCTGAAAAGAAAATAAACATGTGCTGATCATTTTGTAAAGTTTGTATGTTTTGGAGCTGTATATTTTTACGGGCAGAGGTGAAGGGACTTTATTAGAAATACAGATGGGTCTTACAGATTTAAAAAAAAAAATTCAATCTAAAAGTGCAATTTTTTGTTGATCAGCTTTTATCTCATAAATTAGACAGTAATTCATTGTTTGTTCAAATTAGAGGAGAAGAGTTGAATTGTATTATCGAAAAAAAAATTTCTTGAAAGCAAAAAAAAGTAATTTTAAAAATATTTCAATATTGCATGTATTGAATAATAAATTGTTGTTCATGTATTTCGATATGGAAACCCTTTTTGAAGAATAATTTTATCAATAATAAATTTATTGAATATTTCAATCAATGCTTCAAATGGAACAATAATTTTTCTCATTTTTTTCAAATTTATTATTCAGTTCCATTACATTTTTTTAATAAAATATTTTTTAAAATACAATTACTAAAACATTCATATATGAATATTAAATTTTTTAATATATTAAAAAATTTTTAATTAAAATTATTTGTTTAATAAATCAAAAAATGCATACTCATTGTATGAATAATTATTCTTATGTCTTATTGAGTAACATTTATCGTAAAGGTCAATGACTGAAAAATAAATCCTTCTCATGATACGCCATTCCAAGATTGACAATCATCAAAGCTAAATTAATCACCCCAAGTGCAATGACACGTGTATGCACACTAATGATTCAATTCAAAAAGCTAAAACTCTTTTCTATAAATAAAATAGCTTCAGGCTGGCTTTCATCAACTACTTGCTCTGGTCAGTAGAAACTGCGCCACGTTTTCAATTAAAAGCATAATTACGGATTCGACAGTACGACCCTGCGAATAATGCGTGTAACACGTGCATGCGTGCTTATCTGGCCAATTAGAGAACCGATATTTATGGTATCCAGGCATTAAAGGCCATGTCGCATTTTATACGCCGACTGTCCATATACCAGCACACATCTATCCATTGGACTGGACGAGACGCCAAAGAATTTTTACATGCTTGGCCATTTGTTCAACTTTCGCACGATCATGATTGTGTAATTCATTTTATTCCCAAAATTAATTTCGCTAAAACGGAACTTCAACTCATTTCGGTCCAGTTTAATTAGAATAAAATTTACGACTGTGTGGGGAGAGATAAACTCATTTTGATAGGAACACAGAGGTCAGAAGATGATGATGATGATGATGAGATTCACGTGAATGTTAATCAATCAATGTAAATATAAGAAGGAAGACAGAAACATGTGATGATTGAATTGGATATTTGTCAATTGTCTATTGTCTTGATCATTTAATCCTGCATTTGATCTTTTATAACATTTTTCTAAAACATTTTCTAATCATTGATTCATAAATTAAAACTCCCATAAACATTTATTCTTTCAACTCTTTTCTTTAATTCGCTTTTAATTAAAATAATGATTATGAGAAAATATTTCAACGTCGTTATGAAAATTACCATTTACTGTACAAACTTTCTATCAACCTTTCTCTTAATAATTATTTATAAAATTAAATCTGAAAAAAAATATTCGCTCTAATTAAATAATTTATTTAAATATTATAAAAATATGAATTCCAAAACCTTTTAAAATAAATATAGAATAACATTTATATTAAATTTGAATTTCCGGGTGAATGATAAATGAATAAATGATGATCATAATTTAATCAATATTTATACTAATGTTGAACTAGAAGTGCAGTCATAATGAGCTAAATTTAATCCAAATATCTGAAATGTTTCAACGTCAATCTGATACGCAATAGTAACAATTAAATTCATAAAATTAATTATCATTATTTTATTATTATCATCATCATTGAAATGATATAAAAATCATTTTCAAAATATCTCAAATCAATTCTATTTTAAAAGATAAAAATAAATACTACCTTCCTATCCAAAATAATTTAATTTAATTTTAATTGATATTTTATTTCAAATTTTTTACCAACAATTAATTTATCAAAAATAATGTTTATAACTAGGCCACCTTCGGCATCAGATTACTAATATAATAACAAGGCAATGAAGGTATTTGTGAGATCATTCATTTTTTATAAATAAAAAAAAATCAATCATTAAAAGCATGTCATAGTGACACATATTAATGCCACTTTCTGTCTTCTACCACTTAACATTCTACGAGCGCATATATAATTAGAAAGACAAAAAAACTAATAACAAATTTTCCAATCTATTCTTGAAACCGTTAGAAAGCGTAGAATAATCAATGGAATAAATCAATTCATATGGAAAAGAGGTATACCAAAAACAATCCACGTGGGTTTATTTTTTTTTCCTAAATCTTTACCTTTTAATCTTAGAATATTTTACGGTGCTTAAAAAGTAGGACAATGGACCACGCGCCGTTAGAAACGTTCGGGATTTACCCTCTTGACATACGACATCTCAGCTGGCGTATCGAAGGAACGAGGATCCAATGTCGATGATGAAAGCTAAATAAAAAACGGGGGCAGCAGGAAAAAAAGGAGCCCAATGCTTGCATATTATATACTAGTTCAATTGGGGTCCACTAAACATCTGCAGACCTCGTGCCCAACCCATATACCATAACCAATAGCTTGGCGTATGCCGGAAGTTAAGACGTTGGTTAAAGGTCTTTTTTGTCCTGCTGTCTGACGTGCTATATGACGCCTTTCTAAGATTACAAATTTTCTGGCTTCAACTGGTTGTCGAGGAAGACTTGGCACGTTCTCAAACCTCACTCTACCCCTTTTGAAATGTTAATTTCCTTTATTTTGTCAACTCAATGCACACAGAATAATTCACAATCATTTTTCGTGATTTTTCGCTATCTAAAAAGAAAATATTTATTCTTTTATGCAATGAAGATAAAGTCATTTTTTGTTATTGTATTTGTAGAATGGTGATAAATATAAGTATGTTATATTCAATCATTTAGTATGATTTGAAAAAAAAAAAAAAAATAATTCTAAATATTTCATTGAATGATTTATCGTGACTATTTCTAATGAATTGTCTTTTAATAATTAAAACACTACAATTTCTCGGGAAAAATATTTTGTTCTCTCTATTATCAACGACCTCTATCTCTTTACCTGCTAGAAAGTATTAAAAATTTACCACTCAGATAGCAAAAAACGATTCAATAATAAATTTACAACCCTTTTCATGTGGTTGAAAATAGAATCAGTAAAATGTACAATTTAGTTGAATTCATTATTCAATATGAAAGCGTACGAAATATGATTAGTTAATATTTGAAGGTAATTTTTCAGAAAAAAAAACACGTAAATAAATCAAGCGGATTTTAAGTTCGATAAATGTGAAAAATTGAATCAATTATTAAAATACCACCTCCGTTTCATCCGGAAAATAACAACGCGTGTCTACAAGTCGATGTTAAATAATAACACTGACTTGAATACATACGGATAAGGCAATTGCAACTCGTACATTGCCCCTGTATCCTGCTGCACTTTCTCGTTCATAGAGGTGAGAGCATGGTATATAAACTCAAGTGTACCTACTATACTACTCGTACGATTCCTCGTATCTATACATTACACGTACTCGTACTCGGATGACCTAACGATCAACGGTTCAAACCGGTTTCTCTCGTCGTCATTGTGCTTCTTCAACATACGTGGCTAATGTGTCAGGATAAACTCGTATACCAACATCTAGTCGTCATCCATTTTATGTCCAAAAAAGGCCAAATGTAGAATACAAAATAATGTTTTTATTTACATGATTTATTCCACATGCTTCAGCTATGTAAATTATCGAAAATAACACTACATTAATTTTGTGGACTTAATATGTTAATTAGTCAAAAAAAAACTTGTTGTAATAAATAAAATACTTGTAGATAAATTTATTAATAAACTTAACAGAAAATAAATTATTGAAGATACACTCAAGAGAATTTGTTTTTTCTTTCTTAACAAAATTTATGCAACTTAATTGATTGAAGTTTTGTTAATGAAGAAATTGTAATTAAATTCTAAATTGAATGATAATTTTTAAATTATTTTCGACATAACTGAAATGAATAAAACTTTCAATTCTTATTCTTCAAAAGGGCAAAATAACTTTATTTTTTAATAAAAAAAATTCCAACGGATGTTATTCTGCTCTAAAAGTCACTCCTAATCATCATAACAATGCAGAATCAATTGTATTGAAATAGTTCATGTCTTTAAATAGGTAGGAGGAATGTGATGTAATGGTAGTTGTAACCATATGAATTCCTCTCAGTACATATTATAGAGTAAAGAAAAAAAATCTCATACTCTGAGGACTTTTTTTTATTAGTTTATTTCAGCATTCTTTTCAGATTTTTTCGCTGTCCCCAAGGTAATAACAGCAATTGTTTCCAGTTCCAGAGATTCGTTCATTCAAACGCCTCATAGGTATTGATTACGAGATACATTTATTCAGAATTACAATTTCATCGTAAAAAAAACTAGTTTTCCAATTTTACTATCACTTACTAACCCAGAAAATATTTCTAAAAGTCATAAAATAATACAATATTTTATTTTTTTTTGAATCTTTCAATTGAAGAGCTATTTTTTAGGTCATTTTAACAAAAGCTAATAATTTTTTATAGATTTTTTCTTCCAGAGAAATTTTTCTTGGTATTTATTACTTCTTTTTTCATTGAAAACCCAGTATATTTATCAATAATTATTCATTTCCACAGAGTAATAAAATAGAAAATTTTGACAAAACCATATTTTTTAAAAAGGCTCAGCTGTGCCTAACCAAAAACCACACTTTATTTCAACATTAAAAAACTTTATTAACTATTTTTATTTATATATTGCATCAACTTTATATTCCAGAAATATTAACTATAAAGTTCAGTAATGAATTCCAAACATGAATAAATTTTTTCTTAACAGAATTAATAACATCAAACAGATTAAAGTTGGCAATAGTAAATAACTA